TTAAGGCGAGAGAAGGGTACACCCTGGACAGGTCGCCAGTCCGTCACAGGGCTTTTAGTCATTTAAATTCAGTCTTATTTATATAGCATGAAATCACACTAACCATCACACTTTATATTGTAAGGTAAAGACCCCACGATAATACAAAGAAAATGAATGCATCCTTACTTTGTTCTTCACCAAGTCTATTTTTTAATTGTATTCTATTTATTCCCTTCTGTCTGCAGAGACTGCAATCCATTAGATTTAGGTGGACAAAATTAAATTGTTTCCAGTGGCTATAATCTCTGTCTTGATTAAAGAAAATCACAGACAAAATTATGTTACATGAAAACAGATTAACTTTATTACAAATTCCATTTCTGGTACAGTCTATGCTTTTCTGCACTGCAAACCAAAAAAGAGGCTGCATACAAGAAGAAAGCAAAATTACCTTTAAAAAATGAATCTGCTCCTGAGTTAACTGCTTGACCCACGTTTGCAACCACATTAAACATCCTACATAATTAATCTAATCGTAAAAAGCCATCTCAACATTACTGGGAATTAATGGGTCTACGGCAAAATGGCAAGCCCAGACAGTAACCTGACTGCCCGACACTTACCCGAATCAAACCAGTGAGGAGAGTTTCAACCTGTGTTTTGCCTCCTCTGCACTTTACTAAAGTCACCCTAACCCCCCACTCCCCACCCCATATATCCATATTAGGGTAACAAATGCCTTGTCAGCAAAAGACAAACTCAAGAGGTAATATTTCACTAGTTTTAGATTAGTATATCCAAAAATCAATTTCTCAACCATAACTGCATATATTGTTAAGAAATTAGTAGTTGAATACAGTAATAATTACTGGGACAGTAGATGAAGAGAGGATAGACGGACTAGAGACAGAATTTGGGATTTTGAAAATCTGCAAATATCTGGATTTACATAAGTGAACAGAACGCACAGTCTCATCAGCTTCTGAAGTCTAAACCTCTCCATTCATCCATCATTCATCCACCATCCCTCAGTCCAGGACATTTCCCTCTCTCCTCTCCTTTCCTTTACTCCCCTCCTCCTCCTCTCCAGCCACTGTTGACGTCCATGGCTCTGTCACCCGCATCACCGGTTTCCACGCTGCTCTCTGGTCCAGTCATGTAGTCATTATGGCTCTTCTAATTGCCTCTGTGTTCACACCCGCGCTGTTTGTCTTCTCGCGGCTCCCTTTCTTTTTTCAGTTAGTTTTATTTTAGTTAATCAGTCGTCTTTTTTGTCGGAAACTCTTTTTATCCTCTTGCACTTTTCTGACGCTTTGGGGAGTTCCGTGCGTCCGAGCCTCTCGCACCTCTCCACGGTGTAAATCCCTGCTCTGGCTGCTCCACCTGGACGTGTCGCTAATTTCCCTATTCATTCACCCGTGCGGTCGTTTCACGTCGTCGTGACTCCTAATTGTTTCTTGGCAGAGTTAGAAACCGGTGGTGAAAAGGCTCATATGAGTGCGCCTCCGCTGATCCGTGCGCCCAGCCCTCTCCCGTTCTCAGGGGGCACAAACAACACCAACACCGGCGCCGGGGGAGGGGGTGGTGGTGGTGTAGGAGGAGGAGGAGGAGGTGGTGGTGTGATCTCCTTCCACATCCAGATCGGTCTGAGCCGGGAGCCCGTGCTGCTGGATGCCGCGGAGTTCAGCCTCAGTCAGGTCCGGGAGGTGGCGTGCTCCATCGTGGACCAAAAGGTAACTAAAGAGTTTAAACCAAGTTCTAAAATCAAGTTCTAAAATCCTCTAAGTCCTGACAGAGAAATCATAATGTAAAGAAGTTACATTGGTGACATAAATCTTTCACGGGTTTAAAATTCATTAAATATAGACCATAAACACAGATAATTTCATTTCACGCTTTTTGTCTCTCTGATCTACTTTAAACTTGCCAAGTGTTTTGTTGAGGACCAAAGGAAGTGCAATAAGGAGTTTGGATTTTTCAGTGGGTTTCTTATTTGGGGGTTTCGTGACCTCACAGATGATGTCACAGTCCTCTCTGACCCAGTATATATTTTAGTTTTTTTTTTAAAAAGGGAAGTGGACACTGCACTACAGTATTTAAAACGAATATGATCTACAGATCATAATTTTTTTCTTGAATTTTTAAACACTTTCTGGTTTGGTTTTCTTCCTTCAATAAAACAAACAAACAAAAACATTTGAAGGTTAATGTTGTAGGTTATTGTTTGTTTTAGTTTATTTTTTAATTGGGGGTGTCAGACATATATTAATCAAATTGACCCGCAACTGGGTACAAACCAGCCACTGTATTACTTTGCAAATTAGGAAGTCATCAATAATGAGTAGTCAGCCATCAATAGTGGGAAGACATCCATTTCTTAAATAAAATGCATTGCTATTCTTGGCACAGTGGTGCCAGCTTTCAGAACTACAGGTCAGACTCCAAAGAGAGATTTATCTCACATGTGTCAGATTTAAAAGGATTATTGAACAAGTTGTTGGATAGTTCTGGGAACTGGAGAGTAGTTCAGAAAGGGATACTGGTTATCAGAAAACAAGTGGATAATCTGTACAAGAGGAAAGAGAGTGTTATTTCTGGCCAATCTTAATATCGGAAGAATCTTGTGAAGCAATGGAATTGCCTTACTTGTGGATTATCCGGACATGAATCATTGAGGAGGTTATACGTTACAGGCAAGTATCCAGCAAGAAGAGACAAGTGGTGGTGGAGAGTGGGAAGGCAGGTCAGTGGGGTTGGAGGCTTGAGTGGAACTCACTGGGAATACAGGTAAGTCAGAAATCACATCCACAGAGTGAGACTGTGGGTGGTGTAACAATCTGTTGTCCTTCCTGGATGATAAGGAAATTTAGAACAGGTGTAGAAGGCAGAGAGAGTCATGCCCAAGGGTAGACCAAGGGAAACATTTACTCATCAATCCTGCATCAAGAAAAAGGATTAAAAAGTGAGTGAGATGAGCAGGGAAGGGCATTAATAAGAATTTACCAATTCCGATTCCGTTATGGATATCACTTATTGATTTAATTCTTTTACTGATTCTCATTAGGTTCTCTTTGGCTTTTAGACTCACCACCATCGCTAAGCAGCATCTCAAAGGCATTACAATCATGCAGATTAATTGCGTGCTGTGTAGTCAAATGTTTGTGCATGCTGGAGGTATTTCTCATCTTTGTTGTGATCAGTGTTGGGCTCATCATTCAACAAAGTAATGTGTTACACATTACACAGACAGAGCATTCACATTCCCGACGCGTAACATACCGACGATTTGTCGCGGCCCAAGGCGTGTCATAGTAACGCGAAAGCTACCCCTCCGTGTCCTTATTAAACGCTCCAGATTCCTAATTGAAGTGAATAGAAAGCTGCTTCGTGGCTTTCTATTTGCTTCCTTTTTATTCTCTTGCCAGCTTTCTATTGCAACCCTAACCATAATCTTAAATTTATAGATTTATTCCAACCTGCTCTCATGCCTCAGAACGCGCAACATGCTGATGATTTGTCACATAGTGTCTGCATGTTATGTGTTGGGATGAAAACGTGTTGACACAGAACAGTTTTCTTAAAAGTAATTCAAAATATTAATTAATTCCAGGAGAAAGTTGTTACACTACTGGTTACATTGAAATGAACTAAAACACATTGTCTCATAATTACAATTAAACACAGTCTACAGTGCCACATATCAGCACATATCTCTAGCCTAACAAGGACACACATACATGATTTTTCTCTTAGTATTTAGGTATGAAAACAAAACCAACAGAACAAAGCAAACATGAAAACCAGCACAAAGATACTTTAAAACAATCGCCATGGTGCTTCTATATTAGAAACAAGAACAGGTAGAAATGGAGGCAGCAGTCTGACTGCTCATCACTTCTTGTTCTTTCTTTTTTTCCTGTAGAAGTTCAGGGTCTGGCTGCTGAGTTGGCTTTCACTCAGCTTCAACATTGCTCTTGGCTAGTTTAACAATACAGTAGCATGTTGTTTATGCTTGCAAAGAGCCAAAGTTATGTTAGCAGCATAATGCAATTGTTTCCGTCCTGGATGTAAAAATAAAAGTAATGTTCATATGCAGGTGTTTCACCTCACTGTTTTTGCACTTTTTGTAAAATAACTTTTTGAAACTGAGAACTCAGTTTTACCCTTTGAGAATACCTTCAAAACTTATAGATGATGGTGCAACTGTGAAGGGCTTGAGAGAGTCAGAAAAAAATACTATGTCATCATAAAAAAACTTACTCTGTACCAGTTATTCAGCAGCATAGACCAGAACCTTAAATCTGAGCCACAACCCTTACCTAATGAGACTGAATCAAGCAAATACCAAAAGACTGAATATTGAAAAGGCAATCTCTAAATGATGAAATGGGGATTTTAATTTGAGAATAGAAGCTGGAATTCTTGAACTGAGGATCAATGAGAAGAAATCATCCAAGAGGTGACACACAGCTGGAAGCTTAACTTTATTCAACACAATCCATCAGAGAGTTTCAAAGACTAGGTTGAAAATGACGTCTTTTACACCTGAACATTAAAATAACAGCAAAGTAACATTTTGAATTCCAGAAGGATGCCACTGAGCCCAAGGAGCAAAGCTGGCTGAGTGGAAGAGATCAAAGGTGAGTGTACGCAGTTTGGGTTCTCCATCACTTGAAGGTGAAAGTCGACGGCATTTAGAAAAGGCATAACTGCGTCACATCCGTGTTGCTGGTAGATGGCCAAGGATCCGAGCTTCACGGAATTTGATGCTTTTCCTGTGGAAGGGGAGGTGATGCAGCAGACTTCCTGGTTCTATTTTGCTTGCACGTAATTGTTTTAGAAGGAGCAGAAACAGCAGGAATGGGGGTTTGTTGAGGAGGTGGACTGACTTGCAGTCCAGACTGAGTCATGTCTAATGCAACAGCAAGCTCTCATATTTTCTCATGCACTATGATCGGGCAAGAAGATGCAGAGAAGAGTACTTCTGATGGGACACAATACAGGAGCTCCCTCTACTAGAATTTCACACAGATGAGGATTCAAATGGCTCTGGCTGATCTTGATCAGGAATAGGTTCGAGGATGTCACTAAGAGGGGGACACATGATTAAAAATGTGATAGCATGACAAAAGAAACATCATAAACACCTCTGCATGTATGAAAGGCAGAATGACAGAAGTGGTTTGTGATTTAAACCACACAGAAGTGAGTCTGATTGGCTCAGTCGAGGAAGAAGATGATTGGACTGGAACAACGATGCCAGTGTTGAGTTTGACAGTGTGGGAGAGCGGTAGTGATGTAAAGAAGCTGAACACCTAGGGAAGTGGGCAGATGATTGCAGAGCTTAATACTGAACTAACACATAGGCTTAGAATAGTAGAAAGGGGAATACTGTTGCTATGTCACTTTCCACACCTTTACAAATCAGTTTTTATACACTATACAGGTTTGTTTCCAGTACAGCAACTTTACCTCAGGAATGCTGACTAGTTGTGACAAAGCTTATATTAAGCTTTGTTATATACGTCAACAATAATAAGGATGGTGGTTTCCATTCGATTCTTTCACCAGCAGATGAAACAAAATTTGGCACAAAAGAATTTAGTATATCACCGAGGGTAATTTGTTTAAGTTAATTGCTGTTAAAAAAGATTTATTGTTGACAAACAGTTTCATGAATTGTTTGTTTTAAAATAGCTGTATTTACAATGTATTAGATGCTCAAATAAGGCATTCGAATGTATCCATCCTCGCAAACATGGCTGCATTTTTAGACTTTTGATAAAGTGTTTTTTATTTGTTACATGCAGCAGGAGATTTGAGGTGCAGCAGCAAGCCTTTGCTGCTGAACAGACTAACACATGAACACACAACATTTCTCTGATGGCATGCAGTGTGTTTAGCAGTTTTTCGCTCTATGTGTAAAGCCTACAGTATGTGAGTCTGGAAAGGAGTGTTAGTCAGTTGGTGACTCACTCTGAGGCTTGTTTCTCATTGGAAACATGATTAATTCTGCCTTTGTTCACTCGCTCTGCAGGGGTTTTTCTGTTTTTCTGGCTTTTGCTTTATGAACTGAATTGAACTGCAAAGCTGTTACCGAGCACTCATAATTAAACCACGCTGACACACACACAGACAGTGTCGATGTCCTTATGAATGTGATAGATGTCCTATTTCTCACATAGGCAAGCAGAGAGAAATCTCAGAGGAGTTTATGAATGCAGGCGTGTTTTTATTCTCTTATTTCCACAAATAACAATAATGTTGTTGCAAATTACTTTTTCTCTTTCTCCAACACCTAATCAAACCAATGTCCACTCCAAAAGCTACAATGTAAAACATCAAGCCCTTCAGTATCAATATAATTGCAATTAATGTCTATTATTTTATCTTAATTTTAATTTTATAAATGGGACTGGGTAATATATACCAGTGGCCCCTTAGCTGTTGTGCGTGTAGTGCATTCCAAAGTGTTGTGTATTGTAATCACATCACATTTTTTCAGTAATGCAGCACGAAGTTAAGTAATTACATTACAGTTAATTGTAACTGTTGACAAAAAAATTGTAACTGTTGACAGAAAGTTACAAAGTTTTTTCTTCCTGTGCACTGGGTTGTATGAGCTGAGCTACAGTTTTTGGGGAGTAGAGATACAGACAGTACTTTTATTTTTATTGCACAAAAGAACAAGACTGCAATGGTAAAGTGCAAACTGCCTCTAGGACAAAAACAA